CCTGGAGGGAAGGGAGATGCGGACGGTCAGGAGGCCCTGAGAAAGAAGCAGACACTCACTAGGCTCCCGCTCGGGGTCGGGAGACACGCATGTAATTTCACAGCAGCCTGGAGGGAAGGGAGATGCGGACGGTCAGGAGGCCCTGAGAAAGAAGCAGACACTCACTAGGCTCCCACTCGGGGTCGGGCCACACGCATGTAATTTCACAGCAGCCTGGAGGGAAGGGAGATGCGGACGGTCAGGAGGCCCTGAGAAAGAAGCAGACACTCACTAGGCTCCCGCTCGGGGTCGGGCCACACGCATGTAATTTCACAGCAGCCTGGAGGGAAGGGAGATGCGGACGGTCAGGAGGCCCTGAGAAAGAAGCAGACACTCACTAGGCTCCCGCTCGGGGTCGGGCCACACGCATGTAATTTCACAGCAGCCTGGAGGGAAGGGAGATGCGGACGGTCAGGAGGCCCTGAGAAAGAAGCAGACACTCACTAGGCTCCCGCTCGGGGTCGGGCCACACGCATGTAATTTCACAGCAGCCTGGAGGGAAGGGAGATGCGGACGGTCAGGAGGCCCTGAGAAAGAAGCAGACACTCACTAGGCTCCCGCTCGGGGTCGGGCCACACGCATGTAATTTTACAGGAGCCTGGCACAGCCCTGTGAGCCAGGCCCCAAGTCCTCATTTCACACCTGAGCAAGGGCTCAGGCTGAGGAAGCGATTTGCCCAAGGACACACAGCCAGTAAGTGGCAGAAATGAGCGAGACGCACCTGCCCATCTTAGCCCCACTCCTCCCATGAGATTTGCTGCTTCCCTTGGGCTTCCATCGTGGCTCAGCTGGTAATGAATCCGCTTGCAATGTAGGAGACCTGAGTTCGATCCCTGGGTTGGGAAGATCCCCTGGTGAAGGGAAAGGATACCCACTCCAGTATTCTAGCCTGGATAATTCCGTGGACTGTATAGTCCATGGACTCACAAAGACTTGGACACGATTGAGCAGCTTCACCTAAAACGTCAAAGGCCAACTGACCATGAAAAGAATGAAAGCGCCTGTGGTATTGTATCCCATCGTACGATGTCAGGTCCTCCTGCCTGTAACACAGGGCGTGACCCCGCCATCTGTCCCCCAAACCCCTGGCCTGGCCGTGGCAGGACTCCGGGTGACTGGCAGATCACTGCCCTGCTGTCCTGGCAGGCAAACATCAAGGCAGAACCGACTGACAGCCTGGTTTCTCCCGTGAGGACCATAGCCATGGATGCCCTGTCATACTTGAGGTGAGCCGGGCCCCTGGCCAGGCCCCCAGCGCCGCCCTGGGCTGCAGACAAAGTCTGAGACCACCTCTCGGTGCCTTTGGGGGAAGGTCACACCTCCTTTGGGGCTTCCCTGGAGGCTCGGACGGTAAAGAATTTGCTCGCAATGTAGAAGACACAGGATCTATCCCTTGGTCTGGAAGACCCCCTGGAGATGGGAATGGCAATGCACTCCAGATTCTTGCCTGCAAAACCCCATGGGCGGGCTACAGTCCATGCGGTCAAAAGAGTCAGATTCGAACACTTTCACTTTAAACAAAATTACTGGATTTGGGTAGGAGTGGGAAGGCCCGGAAAGGTGAAATACAGGAGCTCATTGGAGGCCAGGAGTTTAGAGTTTAAGTGGAGGGTGACTCTCCCTTCTGAAGGCAAAATAGAGCCAATGAGGAGCTTGTAACAATCCTGCAAGCCTGCCCCACCGAAGACTCCAACAAGGATCCCTGGACCTGGGCATGGCCCCTGGGGCCCTTAGAAAGCTCTCCTGTGACTCTAATATGCAACAAGGCTTGAGATCCACCTATGAAGGGGACAGAAAGAGAATCAGCTGGTGTGCATCACGCAGCTAGCTACTACCACCAAAGGTTTATTAAAACACAGATGGCCTCCATTCCAGAAGTTTTTTGGTTTTTTCTAAGATGTTTTTTCACGTGGACCATTTTTTTGTGTTACAGTATTGCTTCGGTTTCATGTTTTGGCTTTTTGGCCACGAGACGCGTGGGATCAACCCTGCACCCCTGGCCCAGCACGGCAAAGCCTTAACCACTGGGCCGCCGGGGAGTCCTCCACTCCAGAGGTTGTGATTCAGCAGCTCTGAGGTGGAGACACAGAATTTGCATTTTCTAATAAACTCCAAGGGGATGCTGCTGCTCCTGGGCCAGGTATTACAGTTGAAAACTCCTGGGCCAGGACCACCCAGAAGCAGAGTCTGTGGCTGCAGTCAGGGAGGACCAGTGGAATGTTTCTGAACAGGAGAGAGAGAGACTCAGAGCAGACAGTGATAGGAGAGGTGGCTGTGGACGCCTGCGTCTCCCCTTCCGTCACAGACAGACAGTGGACTGGAGCCCCGGTGGGGGGGAGCCGGGGCCCCTGGGGAGGGACAGATGCCTGAACCCCCAAACAGAGAAGCTGGCCCCTCCCTCATTCTGTGACGTGGCTCCTCCCACCGCCCCCCCCCGCCCCCAGACTGGGCAGAGCAGGGTCTCAGCTCCGCACTGATCACTCCCCTTGTCACTTCTTTCTCTAGCAAACTGAAGCCTTTCTACTCCACAGAGGCAAGCAGTGAGCTGATGAATATCAGTACACACCCTGTAATTTCTCTCCAGCCCCCAGGGGAGAGCAATGCGTCCATTAAGGTAGGTCCCTCTGCGCCACCTCATTTTCTGGGTGAGGACTTGGAAGTTGACGTTCACATGGGCAGTGCTGGGAGCCCACCGTCCTGGGCCACCTGGGAGCGGTCAGGGAAGCAAAGTACAGCAGGCTCTCTCAGTGAGTGTAAGGTGATGCGAGCTGCTGCAACAGACACGCGCTGAAGTCTTCATGGTTTAACAAGATGACCGTTTTTCTCACTCGAAGTCCAGCTGGCAGCAGACGTGGAGAGGTGGCTGCTTCCTGCGGTTGATCAGGGCCGCGGGCTGACAGGTGAGGGCTCGCTCAGATCTCATTCCTTGCCATGGACTCCGCTGGGGACGACGCTGCAGGTGGGGCTGAGCTGAGAGGAATGAGGAAGCTGGTGACTGCAGGGGAAATGCCCCCCAGCTCCAACAAAGCAAGTTCTTGAGGGAAAAACAAGACAGAACAAAACACCACAGCCCTCGGGTCTGGACCAGCCAGCCGTCTCCCCTCTCAGGGCGCGGTGGGCAGCCTCAGGCCTACCTGGCCTCACACGGGCTGTCCCCGGAGTCCCCTCCCTGTCTGAACGGCCCTGCCTCTGGGAACCAACCTTCTCCAGGGAGGGGCTGTCGAAGCTCTCGATCTGGTTGTTCAGCTCTTTGCTCAGACGCAGGCTCCAGCGGGAACCCCGAGGCATCTTGAGGGAGTTTCTCCGAAACTGGGGGTGGGGGAAGAAGGCAGAGGTGGGCAGTGCTCCAGAGGGCGGTGCTCCTCGGCCGTGACTCTCCCCCTCCAGCGCCTTCCCCGGTCTCTAGAGGGCTTCCCCTTTCAGCCCCGACCCAGCCCTAGTGCTGTGCGGGCTTGGGGGCTGCCGGGAGGGGTCACCCTGTGCTGCCTGCGGGGCTTTGGCTTCCAGGGTGGGGTCTCCTGCTGGAGCTGCCTGTGCTCCCCGAGTCTTGTGACAGGAGGGGAACGTGTCCCCTGGGGGCTCCTGAACTCCCCACACGGCAAACCCACAGAGAGCTGCCCCCACCTCCCCCACCCCGGCCTCAGGTGGCGGGATCACCTCTACCTGAATCAGCCTGTCCTCCCACGTCTTCTGGTTCCAGGTAAACTCGGTGAGTTCTGCAGAGAGAAGGTCCACCCGTGCTCCTGTCTCCTGCGGCTCCTCCATGCCGCCTCCTAAATGCAGCATCTGGGGTCCTCCGTGGACGGGCTCCCCACAGCCCCACGTCCCTCCCCACCCTCCCAAGGAGCAGAGTAGGCTGTGCCGGCCACCTGGAGCCCGGGCACCTTTGCTCAGGCCACGTGACTGGTTCTCGGCATGTACAGTGATGTGAGGTGGCTCACACACCCCGGGCTCCTTTGCTCAGACCAGGTGCTAAGTACCCGGCATGTACACTAGGGGTGTGTGGGGGGATCAGACATGCACTCGGGCTCCTTTGCTCAGCCACAGGTCTAGCACCCGGCGGGTACACGTAGGGGGTGGCTTACACATGCACCCGGGGCATCTCACCCTCCAGGTACTTGACCAGCAGCGGGATCTCCAGCTCCTTCATGACGGCCGTGGAGGGGGCGATGCTCTGGCTCAGGGTCTTCAGAAGGTTGAGCATGGCGATTACATGGCCCTCCCTCTTGTAGGGGGACGACATCAGTACCTGGGGAACACCGAGACTCCAGTGGGGCCCCTCGCTGGCTGGGTAGCCCCAGGCCCCCCATGCCCCAACCTGGGGCCTCGCTGTCCGAGCCCATAAAGGGAAAGTTGGACAGGATGGGGCCTTTCAAGCAGAGCTCCGAGGATCCCCAGGATCAGAGCATCCCTGCAGAGGATGCTGAAGGCAGGAAAGGAGACACGAGAGCATGGGCTCCTCCCCACCCCGGGTTCCATGGAGCTCGGAGCAGGGTCAACACAAGGAGGAGGATGCATGGTGCAGGGCGGAGCTGACCCCCAGGGAAGGGCAGCCTGCTGACAGAGTCCTGCGGATGCTTGGGGCCATTCAAAGGCCCAGCAGAGAAATCTGGGAGCCTGCTGCCCTTGCCATATCTCCCCCGAGGGATGATGGGGGCCTGGAAAGCTCGGTCCTGTCAAACATCAGCTCCCTGTTCCCCCTGGAGGCCCCGGGAATTAGGAGCTCATGGGAGGGGAGCCGCAGGACACAGCGGGGCCAGGCCAGTGCACGACCCGTGAGCCACTCACCAGGAGTCAGGCCAGCAGAATCTGTGGCACGGGTAGATCCACTGGGGAGAGAAAGATGCAGGACACTGAGGCTGCCCCGCTCCTGTACACTGGGGGCCTTCCCCTGCAAGGTGTTGCCCCAACAGCATCCCAGAGCCCCCCAGAATTCAGGAGTGGTCAGGATGGGGGATTTGCCACAAACTATATCACTACAACTGGCCATCTCGGGGAGGAGGAGCCTGGTGCTCTGGGCTGGGGCTGAGAGGATGCTCTTCCCCCCCCCCCCCCAATTTATTTATTTATTTTAATTGGCGGCTAATTACTTCCCAATATTGTGGTGGTTTTTGCCATACATTGACATGAATCAGCCATGGGTGGACATGTGTTCCCCATCCTGAACCCCCCTCCCACCTTCCTCCCCATCCCTTCCCTCAGGGCCATCCCAGTGCACCGGCCCTGAGTGCCTGCCCTGTTTCATGCAGCGAACCTGGACTGGCGATCTATTCCAAATGTGCTAATGTACATGTTTCAGAGCTATTCTCTCACATCATCCCACCCTTGCCTTCACCCACCAAGTCCAAACGTCTGTTCTTTACATCTGTGTCTTTTGCTGTCTCGCATATAGGGTCATCGTTACCATCTTTCTAAATGCCATACATATGTGTTAATACACTATGCTCTTTTCAGGATGTGCCCGCTTGGGAGTGCACACCCGGCTGGCCTGAGAGTGTTTCTCTCCTACTGTGAGTCTTAGCCTCCTTGAGCCAACAGTAACTAGACATCACCCCCTCCCCTCCCCTCCCTCTGCAGGCTTTGGGAGGCTGTGAGCCCATGAGTAGGGTGCTCACAGCATTTGGACCAGCGGGCTAGGGAAGGGCAGGCCTGCTGGAAGCTGCAGGGAGGGGCGGCACCTAGGAAAGAGCCAGCCCCAGGCTCAGGATCGGGGCAGGAGGCAGACCAGGGGTGGTCTGGCCGGATGATCAGAGCAGGCTCTGCCCCTACTATCGCTGAGTCCTGTAGGCTCACAGTCACCTTCTGTCACCGGCCACATCCATCCTCAAAGCCCCAGGACCATGGCAGCAGCCCCCTGGGACAGCAGGGTCCCCGTAAGTAGGTCAGTCTAGTCCCTTTCTTGAGGGTCTGTTACTAACAAGGGCGTCATCACGGTGAGTCAGAGGGCCTGGTGGGGGTGGTTCCAGAGGCCTCAGATAGGATATCCAGTACTTCCAGTGGGCTCATGGGGGCCAGAGAGCTCACACCTGCGGGAAGCCTGAGCCAGGACCCCTGCCCTGGGGTCTGGGCCAGGGTGGGTGGGAGGTGGGGATGAGAGGAGTGGGCTGCCAGAGGAGGCGTGCACAACTTTAACCTCCTCGGATTTCGGCAAGGGCGGCCTCTTTGGCAAGGCCTGGCTCTCTGGGCTCCAGGCTGCTGCCTGGAGAAGGGGGAGCGGTCCAAGGCACGGGGCGGCCCACCTGCCCAGTCCCTCCAGCTGGCGCAGGGGGGCTGCCCACCGTGCCTGCTCTTGCTTGTGCTGGCCTCCACGTCATTGGCGTGCAGCTGGCACTCGGCCAGGTTGGTGAGGCTGGCGCAGATGGGGGTCAAGGCCTCCGTGTAGTCCGTCTCCATGATGTAGCACGGGAGGCTCTCCCAAAATTCCTATGGGGGCGATGGGGGTAAGGTGGGGGTGCTGGGATCAGCCAGCCTGGGCATCACACAGTCCTGTGATGAGATCGTCGGTCCCTCCCCACCCTGACAGCCTTGTCTCAGCCTCGCTTCTCCAGAACCACACTCCGACCCACTGACTGACCGCCTCAGGCCCGCTGGCTCTGCTGTGCAGCCTGGGTCTCGGCCAAGGCTGTCTAAGCTGCACCCACCCCATGGCCGAGGGGGGTCAGCTAGTCCTGGGCCCTTGACCTCTGTGCCCCCTGCCTCACTCCATCCCCGCAGCCAGCACATCCTCTTTGAGCAGCCCTCTCTCTAACCCCCAATCCCCTAGAGAGGCACACTGGGCAGACAACCTAGCCATGCTTGCCAACTGTGATGCTTAGTTTCTATGTGTCAACTTGGCAAGTGAATGCACACAGTTATTCGATCAAACACTAATCTAGGCATGGCGGTGAAGGTATTTTGATGCATCTGATGAAAGTCCATAATCCATATAAGAGGTTACTCTGGAAAATGTGAGTGGACTTGATCAAATCAGTTGAGGGCAAAAAACAGGTTTCCCTGAGGAAGAAGAGAGTTTGCCTCAAGGTTGCAGCCTCAGCTACTGCCTGAGTTTTCAGCCTGCTGGCCTACCTCCTAAATTTCAGACTTGCCAGCTCACAATTGCACAATACATATGTTGTTGTTCAGTTGCTCAGTCATGTCCGACTCTTTGCGATCCCATGGACTGCAGCACCCCAGGCCTTCCTGTCCTTCACCATCTCCCGGAGTTTGGGCAAACTGATGTCTATAGAATCGGTGATCTCATCCTCTGTTGTCCCCTTCTCCTCCTGCCTTCAATCTTTCCCAGCACCAGGGTCTTTTCCAATGAGTCGGCTCTTCCCATCAGGTGGCCAAAGTATTGGCGCTTCAGCTTCAGCATCAGTCCTTCCGATGATTATTCAGAGCTGATTTCCTTTTGTATTGACTGGTTTGAGCTTCTTGCTGTCCAAGGCACTCTCAAGAGCACTCTCAACACCACAATTCTAAAGCATCAGTTCTTTGGCCCTCAGACTCGTTTACGGTCCAACTATCTCATCTGTACATGACTCCTGGAAAAACCATAGCTTTCACTATACAGATTTTGTCTGTAATGTAGTGTCTCAGCTTTTTAATATGCTGTCTAGGTCTGTCATAGCTTTTCTTCCAAAGAGCAAGAATCTTTCAATTTCATGGCTGCAGTCACCATCTGTAAAGGTTTTGGAGCCCAAGAAAATAAAGTCTGTCACTGTGTCCATTGTTTCCCCATCTACTTGCTGTGAAGTGATGGGACTGGATGCCATGATCTTCGTTGTCTAAATGTTCAGTTTTAAGTCAGCCTTTTCACTCTCTCCTTGCACCTTCATCAAGAGACTCTTTAGTTCCTCTTTGATTTCTGACATAAGGGTGGTGTCATTTGCATATCTGAGTTTATTGATATTTTTGAGATATACACACAGACACACACACACACATATATCTCCTACTGGTTCTATTTCTGTACAGGTTCTTCGAGCCATGACTCTAGCCTTTCAACTTCCCCCTTCCATCTCCCATCTAGCCAGGTGATCACTGAACACCCCCAGTGACCCTGATTCCTTTTAGCCCCACTTCCACCCCTAGGAGTTTGGGGTGAGCTCCTATGCTACTAACAAGTGAATTTGCTTGATGTGTTGTAGCCATCAGGACTAGAATTCCTGGCTACTGGGTTCCCCCAGGGATGTAGCAGAATGAACAGAAAAGACCATTTTTATCCTGGCTCCACTTTTCACCAGCTTAGAATCCTCGAGGAAATTATTGAGTCCCTCTGAGCCTCAGTTTCCTCATTTATAAAAGCTAGGTAATAATAACAGACCTGACCTCACAGGGTGCTTCGGATAATTGAATAAGATTCTAGATACTACACATCTAGTACAGTGCCTGCCACGTGTACTCAATGAATTATAACCACTCTTATTATTATTACTATAACTGTTATTTTTGCAATTAAGAGAAGTTGCCACTGGATGGGGAGCATCCGGCCCATGGCCTCAATTAACAGACAATGGTTCCCTCCATGTGCAGTCATGGTATCTATCTTACTATCTTACTGCTATGTCACATTGTAATGCAATTAAAAACTGACGCATTTGTTCCCCTAAAGCCTGTGAACAGCTTGGGGTCACACTGAGCCTTCCTGTGTATGCCCGGATGCCTCACACAGAGTTGGAACTCGTGAGTGTTTGTGAAATATAACCCCTAGAGTCACTTATTTGCACACTCACACATATACACACATGCATGCATGTGCATGGGCTCCCCGAGTGGCTCTGGTGGTGAAGAATCTGCCTGCCAATGCAGAAGACAGGTTTGATCCTTGGGTCTGGAAGATCATCTGCAGTAGGAAATGGCATTCCACTCCAGTATCCTTGCCTGGAAAATTCTATGGGCAGAGGAGCCTGGTGGGCTACAGTTGATGGGGCCACAATGAATCGGACAGAACTGAGTGACTGAATACATGTGCGCGCGGGCACACACACACCCCTGGACTGAGGGGCTTTAAGGTGATGGATGCATTTCAAGCAATAAGTCAAGTGATACGTATTAGGCCTACTGTGTGCCAAGCACTGCCCTGCTGAAGGTAATAAGGTCCCATGAAGGAAGTGAATCTTGAAACACGAGCTCAGGTAATTGAAAGACCTGGGGCCGCCCATCCTCCCAGGTAGTGGGAATGGGAGAAGCAACAGTGCAGAATTCTGGGCCTGTGCCATCCTCCCCGCACAGCCTCGCACAGCACAGACATGAGCCATCAGCCCCAGTGGGCCAACTCACATTGCTCATCCCACTGAC